GACGATTTGAATTCGAGCGCCCTTCGCGCCATTCGTTACGGCAGATGCACGAAGGTCAAAAGTATTTTAAAAATAAGGCCGTAGGCATTGGCAGATTGGTATGGCAGTGGACGTTAAGGGTCGGATGGCGTTGTAATGGCAAAAAGTTTGCGAAAGGTGAGTAATACATTCGGGTTAGAGATAATGCTTGACGGGCGTTAATTCGTGTACGTTGAAATCGGCGATCATCGATAGATTAAAAGTAAATAAAAGGGGAATGTGCGGCGCTGACGGATGGTTAGAAAATCGGCGATCAAGAAATCGAGTTTTCACGGAGGCAGGAAGGCTCGTGTGGCTTAGACGAGCCACGGTCGACAATGGCGCCCAAGCCTCGCGAATATTGACATTGCCGAAAACATTATCTTCCTCGTATTGGATATTTGTCGTATACGTGGGTGGCACGTACTGCGTCGTAATTAGCGATCTAACCTCGTATCGTGTGTTCGATCTCGCTTATCGCGAGGGAATTCTTCGCGAATCGGTTTACGTGCGGTCGAGGTTATGCCAAAATTTATGTTTTCGGCACGTATAGTAGCGACGCGTGAACCCTGAAGGGTTTTACAGTTATACTGCAATGTGGCACATTTGCAGAAGCACGGAGGACGTTGTGTTGGTTTAGAGTCGCGATATAATCATCGAAGAGGTATCGTCAGGACGATAGGAGGGAGAGTGTGCGTGGGGAAGTCGTGTGAGTTATTGTTTTAAGGGTTAGGGAGGCATTCTCTAATAGTTCAGGGTGATCAGATTTTAGTGTGGACAGTTCAGGGCAGCTAGTTTGGTTGTAGGGTCGGGATTGGAGATAGACAAGATGGACCAGCAGTATTGCCTACGGTGGAACAATCACCCAGCCAACCTTACTGACGTTCTCAGTTCACTGCTTGCCAGAGAGGCACTTTGTGATGTTACCTTGGCATGTGTTGGAGAAACTTTTAAGGCACACCAGACGATACTCTCTGCATGTAGTCCATACTTTGAGACTATTTTCCTCCAGAATACCCATCCTCATCCAATTATATTCCTGAAGGATGTCAACGATACAGAAATGAAAGCATTGCTGCACTTTATGTATAAGGGAGAAGTAAATGTTAGTCAGCATCTATTACCGATGTTCCTCAAAACAGCAGAGGCATTACAAATCAGAGGCCTCACAGATAATAGTGTAAATAATAAGACAGGAGAAAAAAGTCCGTCGCCAGAGCCAGAAGCACAAACCGGTGGCAGGCACACCGATTCGCCTAATCTCCAATCACATCCTGAAAAGAGGAAAAGAAAATTTTCTGGCAGCTATGATGTTTCTCTTACTGGGCCTCCTAGCGAAAGATTCATGTCTGATTCACAGGTATGTAAATAAAATTAATAAATGTTATGGTGGTATTATAAAGTAATTAAGTTTTCTTTTGATATATTATTGAAATAATGTAACAAAAAGAAAAGAGAAACAACTTTTATATTGTTATGAAATGAAAGTATGTCTATGATGAAATCTAAACATTGAGAATAATTAACAACTGACCAATATTTTTTTCTATTTTGTAATAATAACTCATATTAAAGAATCATTTGTAATGATTTTTTAAAATTATACTTTTCTTTTTTTTTTTTTTTACCAACAGTACATTTCTATCTGATAACGACCGTTCATTGTTATCAATAAATTACATATGTATATGATTGCACAGCTTTCCAAATAACTTTGCCTGTGACCTTGGAATTTTGACTAAAGAGATAATACCCTACCATTTAATTCATGAGTAAGATTACTGTATTTTCAGCATTTATAATAGTAATAATAGACTTTCAGATATATTATGTATGTATACATATATATATATATATATATATATACATATGCATATATATATACACATATACATGTATATTTATGTATATATTTATGTTATTTATATATTTACTTATTTATTCATTTATTTGTACTTTCAAAGTGAAGATTTAAAATGTGATGTATGGAAAAATTACAAATGAATATATGACTATTATATTTTATATACTGTTTATGTTAGTTTTATGATAAGAGAATTTTTCTTAGTCCTTTTGTTTCTTTTTTTTTTTCTTTCTTCTTTTTTTTCATTTTTATTTTTTTTCCTTGTTGATCATATAAATAAGTTGAATATAATAAACTTTGTATATTTCTAGATAATCAAAGTTTGTATTTATTATTTTCAGGCATCTTCGCAATGTAATTATAAATCAAGTCCACCTGTTATTCCAAAGGTAAATAATGCCCTGGGAACAGAATTAGAGGATGGTGGTCGACCTATGTCTCCTGCATCTCAACCACAAGCTCCTATCAAGCAAGAATTAGACCACCACTTATCTGATTTCCATGACAATATCTCCCTCCCAGTAAGTAATACATTTAATTCGTTTATTATCTTTATAATTTATTCTTCATTTATTGTTATTAGATTTTCTTTTTTTTCCTTTTTTTCTTTTTTTGATATTGGTGTTGTATTAAGTTGTGCGAGTCATTTTTATTTATTTTTTTTTTTTCTTTCTTTCCTTTTAATGTAAAAAATTTACAATTATTTTTTTTTTGCAGCGATATGATAAATGTTTATGTAGATAATAGCTATGTAAAAATATATGTATCTATTTTATAATACTTTTCATCAAAAGTATTTGTGCATTTGACATGTGTTATTCCATTTTTATTTTATCATAACATGAAAGTGTATTGTTCTAGCAATATTATCTTTATATAATATTTCAATTTTCATTGCATGGTCTTGGGCATATAATGGTTTTTCTTTTTTTTTTTTTTTCTTTTTTTTTTAAATATTTATTAAATATAAGAAAAAAATGGAGGATATTACAATGGTGATTTATTTTATCAATGGTATGATTGTATTGTTATTGAAAGGCAAAATGTATAATTATGTTCTGTCTTCGTTGAATCTTTTTCTTACGTCAGTGTTTCGTTACTGTTCCCACAATTAATGATGATTGTATACCATCATCATATGACTACTCAGTCCAAACAGACACGGGAAGGAAGGGATTTTTTAAATAAAGATGCAAAATTGGCTTCTTGTATGCATAAAGACAAAATCAAAATGTGTTGATTAAGCACATATCCTTTCCTTCTCTGTTGACAGACTAATGTGGAGTGGATAGTTCGAAGGGATGGGAAGAGTGACGAAACAGTGGATGTACAGAACATGACTCCCAATCACCAAGATTCTTCTGTGATGCGAGTTTCACGAGAAAATACCATCATGGCTGGAGGTTCTTTGTGTATCAATATGTCAGGAACTATGCGAGATTTTGAAGATCAACATAACTCTTTACAAAGTCGTATCTTGCCTATTAACACTGAACATTCTGAATATAAAAACAACGAAGTAGAAAATAATTCACAGTATCTGCCTTTATCTGAATGTAATAAAAATGTTAAATTATCGTTAATTAATAATAATGATCATTTGGGATCGGTGAGATTAAATAGTACACAACAGGGAATGTCGGTGATACAATCTACTTTGAGCACTGCTTTGCAACGTAATACTCCTCAAGGTAGAAAGGCTGGTAGATTTAAGCTTGGTTGGTTAGATATATATCCTTGGCTTCAATATGATGAACAATCTAATGTTATGTATTGCAAATATTGTAGAAAATGGAGTGATTCGATTCCAGAAATACGTACCTCTTTTGCTGCAGGGAATGGTAATTTTAGACTTGAAATTATAAATCATCATGATAAATGCAAAGCTCACAAATTATGTGCAGCTAGAGAAAGTGATACTAAAGAAAGTTACACATATATAAAAAGTACTTGTTGATTACTCGATATGACAAGTTTTTATATTTGTCATCGGTTCATACTTATAATTTTTCACATTAATTCATAATATTACAAAATATATAGAAAACATATTTTTATATCCAATATACAAATATGATTGTTTCATAAATTGTACTTATTATATTGTATGATGCAATCATATCAATATGTTGAAAGATATATACATGCACTTTTTTTTTTTTTATATATATATATATATATGCATGTTGTATGTATTTTTTTTTTTTTTTTCCTAGAAAGTTTTCTTATTGAAATATTTGGACTTAATGTGAAGTTAATTGCGGTTGTTGGAAAAATTGAGTTTGTTAATTTTAAAATTAACAAAAGATTATTATTTTTGCCTTTCTGTTTCATTTAAAAAGAAAAGAAAATTTTAGGATTAATGTGTTTAAAATCTGTGTAAAAGTTTATTTTTTACATTTTTTTGTTATTTCAAAGATTATATTCTATATTTTGATTTAAGTTTATTGAATATTTTTATTAAAGCTTATAATAATAATAAGATATATATATATATTTATGTTAAAAAATTGATATTTTTAGATTTACGGATAAATGTCTACGCGTGTAATAATTGTTTACTATTTGTATTTATTGTTCTTATTTTTTTTTCTTTTTTTTTTTTTTTTTCCTTTTATCAACATGTTGCAAATGGTTATACACATATATATATATATTGTCGAAACTGTTTTGTACAATACAAAAAATTTAATATGAACATATAAATGAAATATATATTTTTGTATGTTATATAACGTTACTGAAACAAAATCAAAACAAGAATGTGAAACACGCACAGTAAAATTGTGTATAAAGTATTAGAAATTTTTTTCAAATAGATTTTTTAATACATTTTACTTTATACTAAATGATTTATGTTATATATACATATATATATATATATTTTTTTTTTGTATGTCGTCATTATTAAATATTATTAATAGATCACAAAATAATACATTCAAATAAATTGATTTGTTATTTATTATTTAATTGATTCATTAAAAAAGATAATGTCAATTTTATATAATAATTAGAATTGCTTAATTGCTCTTTTTTTTTTCAATTGTGTATGCATGTATGTATGTATGTATGTATGTATGTATGTATGTATGTATGTATGTATGTATGTATGTTTGTATGTATGTATGTATGTTAGCATTTTGATCGATTGTAATGATTGCGTGCCAAAGTATATATTATTTTTTGAAGTTATGTTGTTCTTTGATGAGTTCTATTATTTATGAGAATATATGAGTTATATATGTATATATATTAAATATATAAATATTAAATATATATATATATATATATATTTATTGTTATTAAAATAAAATAAAATAAAATAAAATATTAAATTAGAAATGAAATGAAATTGAAAATGATAATTGAAAGGAAATCGTCTGTCCCAAAGTTATGCAATGTTAATTGTATAAACGTTTTAAAAGGGAAAAAAAAGAAAAAGAAAAAGAAAAAAGGAAAAAGAGAAAAAATATCTATTTTATTATTCGATTAAATTAGTAATGAGTCAGATTATTATGAAATATCATTTCTAATCAAATGGTTCTCCTTTGTGCAGGGTCATACGGTTGGACTATTAGGAGACGATGGCGGACCTACGGCGGGGGCTCTAAGTGATGGGGTATCTGGAATTGAATCGTCTGAACACCATAATCCTCCTGAAATGCTCGATGGACTTGATGGTAAGATCTTTCAATAATACTTTTCTCTCTTACCTTTGTTTGTTTGTAATTTTTTCTTTTTTCTTTTTCTTTTTTTTTTTTTCTTTTTTTTTTTTTTTTGTAATATATATATATATATATATATATATATATATATATATTAATATTCATTTATCTATTCATTCATTTTTTCGTTATTTTATTTTATTTCATCTTATTTTGTTTTATTTTATATAATTTATTTACTTTAAAAAAAAAAAAAAAAAAGAAAAAAAATTCCTACTCGTATTTAACATATTTCCCATTACAAATATTCATGATAGCTTGCACATAATCTCTTTCTCATAACGTACGGATTAGGAGATAATGTATGTTTTATATAAAAGCAATTCTCACAAATTTTAATATTAAACGTGCAAATTTTAATATTAATCTTACGTCACGGAACGTGTATTATCTTTCTTACTTTTCTTTTTCTTTTTTTCTTTTTTTTTTTTTTTATTGTTGTTTTTCTCTCTTTTTTCCTTCTTTCTTTTTTTCTTCTTGAAATATTTACTTCATTCGATAACTCTCGTCACTTGGAATTGATTATAATTTTCTTATTAAAAAATTATGTATATATATATATATACATTATATTTTTGATATTAATAAAAAAAGTAAATGATAAAAAAATAGTTTGATTAAATGGCTTTCATTGTCAGTTTTTTTAACGCCTTTGATTATAAGCTGAAATGATGGAAAATAAAGAGAGAAAAAAGGAAAAGAAAAGAAAAGAAAAGCAAAGAAAAGAAATAAAATATAATAATAATAATAATGAGTAACAAAGGAATATTAGATGTTTCAAATGTATGGGAAATACGTTAGATTTAAGAAATCGAGGGAAAATATGCATGCAAGTATTGCAAGAACATTTTTTTTTTTTCTACATCCGTATCGTACGATTTTTACGAGCACCCCTCTATTTCCGAATCTGGCAAGTGAATTTGTAGTGTATGATGATTATATAATGATTATGATGATTATGATGATGATGATGATGATGATGATGATGTTGATGATGATGATGATGATGATGATGATGATGATGATGATGATGATGATGATGATGATGTTGATGTTGATGTAATATCTTTATAAAAGAAAAACGACGAAGGAGTAAAAGAGAAAAAGAAAAAAAAAACAAGTGAAGTAAAATAAAGGAAAGATAAAAAAAAGTAAACAAAAAAAAAGAAACAAAAATGAAAAAGAAAAAAAAAGAGAGAAAAGAAAAGAATATTCTATATATACATATATACATATACATACATACATATATATATATATATATATATATATATATATATGTATGTTTGTATGTATGCATGTGTGTATGTTTGTATATAAAAGGAAAAAATGCAAGTGAACGAATTACTTTAGCGATTATGTTTCTATCGCGCATATATATTTTTTTTTTTTCTTTTTTTTTTTTTTTATATGTATACATATATGTATACGTAAATATGCACATGACTGACATATATACGTATACATTTGTAATGTGTGTATATTTTTACACAAAATATCCTTGGTGTTTTTATGGTGATGGTATATATCGTGCATTTGCTATGTTACTGTGGTAGCTACTTACTGTACGTAAGTGTGTTTGATGGAATACGGAGAAAAAGGAAACAAAAAAAAAACAAAAAAATACACTTAACAAAAATATCGTTGTTGGTTTGGGATATATTGGTATTATTTAATCATAATGGATACCGTGTTTTCTATGTATATGTATATATATATATATATATATATGTATGTATATGTATGTATGTATATATATATATTTCTTTGTCATTCTTTTAATTTTTTTTAATTTTTATTTTATCTCTCTCTTTTTTTTATTTTTTTTTATTTTTTTTTTTTTAATACATATATATATATATATATATATATATATATATATATATAATT